GCAGCATCAGGACTGCAGTCGGTGGGGACATAAGCGGAAAGCACAAACAAAGGGCGTCTAGTGCTAATCCGTGAATCAACCTTCCTTGATGCCGTCAAACGGACCGCACATAACCGACTGTTCATTGGAATCCTATCAAGCGACGGTGACTAGGCCTGGGAGCTGAGAACAATGCCCACTACAGCTTGACCAGTGGTTGCCACATTACCGTCTACAGATGCGTGCAACCAATAAAAAGAGAGGACAAAGTAGGTGCAGTTAACTCAAAAAACCGATGAGATACTGATCCTAGTTTCGGACACATGATACATGTCACTATCCGGTGTGGACAACAGGTGTGCGAGTGCAGTCTGTTAACCTATTTGTCTTAGAGAGCGAACGCTGAACGCCGCCAGAGAAACTGGACAATGTGGAATTATAAGGAACCTTTGAGGATTAGTGTCCAGTGGGTGATGCTGGAAGATAGCTGCAGATGGTAGAACTGCAGTGGCATTGCGGCTGCTGTTGGACCAGCACTAAAGAGGGAGGGAAATTGTTGTGCGTCCGATTTGTACCTCACAAGTATTAGAAAGTTGGGCCAGTCAAACCACGTTGGTTCGACAAGGAGTACAGCAAACCGGTCCGACGACGACGCAGACTATGGAACAAATTCGTGGTACCTGGCTCTGATGAGGAGTACAGAGTGTACAAGGTACGGCGAAATCCGCAACAACGCGAAAACAAAGAAGCGCAGAAGCCTCGAAGAGCAGCTTGCAGCCGCCGCAAAAACTGCTCCCAAGAGGATCTTCGCATGCATGAAGCGGCGGCTGAGGCCTGCAGACAATGTGCCAGTGTTCGAAGGCTCAGATGGACAGCCCCTAACCATGAGTGTAGATTGTGCGTCCGCATTGGCAGCGCATTTCGCTTCCGTATTTGCAAGTGACAAGGTATCTGTACCGAGTTCGACGAGTACCGCTCCCGCTAAAATAGACAGTCTGGATTGTAGTATTGAAGATGTACGCAAGCTGCTGGCGAGCTTTGACGGGACGAAGCGTACCGAGCCAGATGGAATCCACCCACTGATCTTCAAGTCCCTATCGGCCATCATCTCTCCTTCTGTAACTGAACTGTGCAGCAGGTCCCTATCCATTGGTTTATTACCGGGCGACTGAAAAGGCTCAACCGTAAAGCCAATACCGAAAGGTGGTGACCCAAGCAAAGTGGATAACTACCGGCCGATCTGCCTGACCGCTGTTTTGGCAAAGAAGCTTGAGGTCCTGAAGAAAAGTCTTCTGCAGATTCTCGAGTCGAAAAGTCTCTTGACGCCCGCACAACACGGGTTCGTGAAAGGTTGATCGTGCATCACCAACCTACTATTGGCGTGGCACGAAGGGTTGCAAGCGCTGAACCAAGGCAAGTCGGTCGACTTCATTTACACTGACTTCAGTGAGGCTTTTGACAAGGTGAATCATGCGGTGCTCCTCGACAGGCTGAGGGTGTGCAGTGTTAATGGCTCGCTGCACCGATGAATCATAAATTGCCTTATTGGTCGAAAGTGGATGGTCCAGGTAGACAACCATTTGACCGACTGGTATTCATCGAGCAGTGGCGTGCTCCAAGGCACTGTACTGGAGCCCATTTTGTTCCTGATCCATGTGAAGGATGTGCCTCAGCTACTTGTTCATCTTGTGCGTTATGTGCAGATGACTTGAAGGTGTGGAGAGAAAACCGCGCACCCAATCACTGTAATCTGCTTCAGAAGGACCTCGACTGCCTCTCCACGTGGTCTGCAGAGGGCAACATTCCAATCAACCCGGTCAAGTCGCAATTGATGAGGTTGGATAAGTGTGAGCGCAGTCAAACCTACATTGTGGCAAGTCAACCGTTGCACCACACGCCTTTCGTGTGAGACCACTGTGTACTCTCACGGTACGAGCAAAAGTCCATGGACAAGACGAATAGGCTGGACCAAAACGGTCTTCGTATACTTTGGGCGCTCAGGCGCAGCGTCAACACTTGAGCCGAAGAGATTGCCACTAGCCTCTTCATCTCAATAACACGACCAATGGGAGAGTTAGCTCTCCCGCGTATTGTCCTATCACCCGGGGCGATGTAGAAAAGATGGAGCGACTGCAGTATGTGGCAACCAGGCTGATTCCCAATTTACGAGATGTGAAGTACGAAGACCGGTGTAAGAAACTAAGGCTTTACACCCAAACTTATTGTCGACTGCGGGTTGACCGCATCATGACGCACCGCATATTACATCTCGGTGAATACCCCATGTTGAAGGCGCTGCTGCATCTGCGCATACCAAGCAGAGGACACCGGTAGAAGCATGTAGTACCGGATTTGAAGCGGGTCGCTCACCAACTGTCTCGAACACAGAGTGGCAAATGTAAGAAACAACCTACCGCAGCATGAAGTTGAGGCAAAGTCTATGTCGGAATTTAAGAAATTCCTGGATAAACACTTTGCCGATATAAAATATATCCAGCGCGTTCCAACATAATGGGTCTTTGTACCTGAGTGATATTAGGTGCAAATACACAGAAATTTTTCTTCTTGCTGCTTCCAATCAGTAATCAGTAACCAATTAAGCAGGGAATTATAGGTTAGTATGAGGCTAAAGATGGGAATAAGAGAAACAGGTGAAAAGGAAATGAGGGAAGCGCCAGCAGCAGCATGTTTCGCTTATCCACCCTGCCCGATGCAACAAATAAGACGACGCTTGATAAGCTGCGTGATAGACGAAGAATGTGGTAGAATATTGAAGAAATATCCTTGATTGTAGGTGGACTGAGATAATGCCAGGATGCCCAGACCTAGGCAGGCGAATGATTAGGGTCCTCAACCAAGGCCTTTGGCTCAAAATCCTGCTCGCAAGGTGGCGAATGTGGCAACAATCCGGTTTTACAGAACTGGACGTCATACTCTCTCAACTCTCTTACCTGGAAAACCAACGGACTGAGTTCGTATAACCTCTAACACTTGACGAACCTGGTAGAGTAGCTCTCAAGGGGCCCAAACGCCCTACCCAGCATATTTTAATGGGCCGACGAGGTAAGCAAACCGTCGCACCATGTTAAGGGGCAGTATCGTCACAACGGAAGCCACTTGATAAGTCTTAAATTATTGATGAAGAGAAGTTGCGAATAGTCGATCAAGTCACCAATATGAGCCTTAATGCGAGTAATGGCCAAGTGAATACTTGGTCAAGAGGAATGAAGACCCTCACTTAGAAGTTGGCCTCGGTTGGAGCCTCTCGGCTCCTTAGTTGAGGTCCGAAAGGCGATGAATATGCTTTGATGGATACAGTTGTTGGTATGGTAAGGAGCCGACCTCAATAGTGTTTGTGTGGTGAGTTTCTTTGTTCGTGCCCATCCCGCTTAGTCACCCCATCCAACCATGCTCTCATTCACTAGGCATAAGGTAATTTTCTTCCTCACTCCCTCCACTTCGATGACGGTCCCAGTGACCGATTGGCAGAGGCTGACTTCAAAGTCAACCGCCGCCACTAGTGAGATTGCGTTCCGCAATCCAAGACACACGGCGGGTGCTCCAAAGTACCCTAAAATCTACTTCTAACCGCTGTGTCAAACACGGCTCGCGGAACTCAATGGCCTAGTGATCATGGCGATAGCCGCCAAACACTATGCCCCGAGTTCCACTCCTAGCTCAGCTATCTCTACCTGATGAGTCTAAACAAAGACGAAACCGTCGGTCGTGGAGTGCAGGGATAGGAGAGAGCCACACCGAAACCCTCCAAAAAGTGAAAGTCGTTTTTATCCAGGTCAGTGAGATATGGCGTCCCTGATCCGACAGCCACGTGCGCCTTTATGTCCTTGATCACTGTTGCCTGTAGAGTTTGTTTTGAATCGGTTAGTACCTACGTGTCCGCAGCCGTGAAGTGCGTAGGGTAATACTGGACGGTAATTGTCAAATCACTTGGTTGGATCAACAAACAAGGTTGAGTAAATTTCGGTTGTTTAGATAGACGCTAGCTTTATTCATCCGCAGCTCATCTAGAATGGTCTTATTTTACTCTCCTTGCCTGATCTGGTCAAAGCTTATAGGGAGCAATTCCGTAGGTGCGTGCTGTTGGACCTTCTGTCTTATCAGGTTGTGACCCATCGAGTGCTTGGGAAGACACCTGAAAGAATATGGCTCACCACTGGCAACAGTGGTCCATTTGATGGCGTTCCTTAAATAAACTGCTTGCCTAGAGTTACCCGAGGTCATCTGTGGGTTGAGGAAGATTGTGATCTTCGACAGTGGAAGCCGCAGGGAAACTGTTGCACCAGTTTGATGACCTGTGCTCGTGACAGCGTCGTTGATAAGCTGTAGGGGCGTTGAAGTTAGAAATCTACACAGAAAATACAGACCCTATAACAGATTCTCTGTTGTTAAGATTGTTACATGTGGCATTGAAACTTCAATGCAAAATGCTGCTGCTGTTTTGGGGCCACGAGGAACGCACAGGGGGACATCTGCGAACACCAACTTCACCAGAACAACTTGATTACTTTCAACGTATAAGTAGTTACACCGTATTCTACATATGCTGCTATAATACGTCAGCTCGATCGCGACGGCGGAACGCAGCCCGCACCAATGAATTAGTTGACAAACTGGCAATTTCTGTTTCACAACCGTTAGTATCGTTTCATAGAGTTCATTTCATTGGTTTATAAGCATCAGTTTGTGTAACGTAAAGATCTGGAAGATTTGATGTAGCGCACTGTACACTTGCAATTGAATGGGGTGGAACTATTTATCGGTTTAATAGTGGGCACCCAGCCTATCTGCAGGTTAGATACTTCTATTCCGCTTTTAACCACAACCATAGAGCTACGGTGAGTTTAATACCATTTGTCCCATCAACTAATCAGGGTTCTTATAGCTCTAAGACGGTTATTTCTGCGGGCAACAGCGTCTTTGAGACCATGGGAAAACTAAAACGCCAGTCAAAATCACACCGAAAAAACGACAGAGGTACAGTAGACAAAAAACCCACTTACCTCTGCATGACTCTGAGGGATAATGGATGCCTGGTAATGCGGATAAGTCACGACACGTCCCGTTCCATCAAGGACTTCTGGTGAATCGGTTGAGCGCCAACAGAGAAGAAACTCAAAAATGGCCTAAGGAGTGGGTGGTGCAGAAAGAAAAGTAACCTGAAGGAAGGCCTCTGTGTACCACAATATATTTTGATCCTGAGGAAGGTGTTGAAAGCTGAAAGTATCCGGTAAACACTGAGGGTGGTATTCAGTAAAATAGTTTCTGAGACCGATCATCAGAACTTGAAGCAAAATAATGTCACCTTTGAAAAATTGCGGTTTGGGGATTTGCGCCCACAAAATGGATCCTCGACAACAAGGATTTGAACGAAACGGGGTCGATGTACAAATAATAATTGAGGTGATCGGTGAAAAGTGCGGTGTACACGCTTCGCTCAAAGTCGTGGAGGTTAAGCCTCTGATGGGTAAGGACGGAAGCATGAGGCAGAAGACAAATAACTTACTGATTTTCGCTTCGGATGCAAAGGATATGACAGAAATGAGTATATGAAATGCTCAAATGCACCTAGAAGAAAAGTATGAACAAATGAAGGAAGCGAACTAACTAAGATGTACCGAGCCCCCACCAGAAACCCCTACCGCTGTCATTTTTGAGTTCGTCGTTACCAAGAGTTCAGGAAACTGAATAGAAACTTACTGAGAGCAGGTAGACGGGAAAGTCAAATTTGAAAGAGGAGTTTTCAACCGACAGTTTGCTAGTAATACAGTCAATAAAGCTTCCTGAAGGGGATAACATTTTGCGGATGCAAGTAAAAAGGTGTGGATCATTCGATTCGGTCAAGGAATGCAAATTCCAACCATCTTGGTGTTCACTGAACCCAAAGATGACATCCATGACGCTTACAAAGGAAGCATGCAACTCCTTAATCAAGAAACATGATGACTGTCAATCAAATGCAAATGGAGCAAACCTGGGGGCCACATTGTAACACGAAAGAGTGCAGCTCGTTGACCTTGTTGACGTCCAGGTGGTGCACAGGACTCATAATTTTGTCAATAGCGGCTAATCTTAAGAGAATAAAGGACAACGAGTAATCCAAACAATTAAGGCAAGAGAAGAACAAAGGAAGCATGGATAGAGATTAGCTGAAGTAGAAAAAATTCTCACAGGCAGTAAATGGTGGTTTTCAAAACATGGGTGTGCAGTGTACACGCGCGAATGTTTTTAGTGACGTTGAGTATGTTGTTACCAATATGATCTCTACCCATTAGCTGAAGGTGAGAATCACATTTCAAGTATTGTGCCGCAACACAGAGATATATCAAAAAGCGATATTAAGTACTGTAGAATACAAGAAAGGCAACATACTGTTACGTGGTCATCATCAATACTTGTTACCTGAGAATGAGAAACACACCTCAGCTAATGTGTCGCAATACAAAAAAGAAATACCAAAAAATATATGCTACAAAAAACTCAAAAAGAAAGTAACGTAGTATGCATTCCGTATGACATGTCAACTGGAGGTGGAATCTAAAGGAGAAGGATAGAGGAAGAAACTCATAACAGAAACATCATTGGGGCCGGCTCAACGCCATGTCAACTAGTGTATCCAACCAAACGCGTTCATCGTCCTTCCGACCCCAGTCAGGCAGTCAGGACGTACCAACCGATGAGGGTTTTCATTTCTCTCGACCAAGTCATCAATTGGCCTCCCCTCCTCCTCTTCCAACCGCACCCGCGGCGCGCAAACAATGTACATCGCGGGGGTCGGCGTGCTGACTTGCGCAACACGTGGCCCAGCCTTGGGAGCATGGTACGTGATATAATGGTGCTGAGCGGTTCACACATTTTTCCTGCACCGAATACGCGACGCCGAACACTCTCAGTGTTTACGCGGTGCTCCCACGATATATGAGCTAAGCTGCGAAAGCAGAGATGATCGAACGTGATTAGTCGACCTATTGGTCCAGGTTTCACAACGGTACAAGAGGGTTTAACGGAAGGCTGCATTATAAACTCTGCTCTTCACAGCTAGGGTGATGTCGGGTCTGCGCCACAGGTGACGGAGATTGACAAAAGCACTTCAACTTCGATCCCACGAGTGCTAATATAGCTGCCCAGGTACTTAAATTTCAGAACAACTTCAAGCTGATCACCACCAAGAATCAGCGCAGGGGTGGGTCCTGTCTACCTTGGAGAAAGAGTGCATTCCGAGGGAGAAAAGCATAGACCATAATGAGTGACATCCAGTGTTAATAGGGTCAGTGAAAGTTTTGGAGTTGTCACAGATGAGGGTAATATCGTCCGCATACACAAAGTTAAAAAGTCGCCCACCATGGAGAAGCTCCACACTTTGTAGATCGAGTACAGTAAACGCTGATTCCATGACTCCGTCAATAGCGAAGTTAAAGAGGAAAGGGGACAGCGGGCAACCTTGTCTTACACCGATGGAGATACTGATGGGTGGCGAGAGTTTGCCCGAGCTATGCGCGCATAGAACTCTGATAACGTGCACATATTAATCGCAATGAGCCAAGACATTAGCGTGGTGCGATGGTTTGCGTACCTCCATAGACCCATTGAGCTAGACTGGGTGACACTTTCTAAGTGCCCTCAGAGCCCCTCATACCAAACAGATCAATGATTAGGTATCAGACTAACTCCCTCTCACAATACAATACTCTTCGAATGTCAGGCAGAGGTCGATGCCCCTCTTCTTCAAAACCTAGCCATGGGAGAGAACACGTCTACGGGTAATAAGCTCACAGCTCGACTGGCGTAAAGCATAAGCGCCACGCATTGTCTCTGACGGTGGGAGGGCACCCTTTGGAGGTCATTGGATTGCTACCATGCTGAAACGAAACAAAATTCCTAGACCCGACGACCATCCACCATCTTTGCAGAAAGAGGGACCATGGGTGAACTGCGCTGCACCACCCACAGCTCTATCTACACACCCCATATCCAGTGTAAACCCGATGGAATAAGACCGGGAGACATGTGGTTGGGAGCCATGTTTCATCAACCGAGCTGGCGCACACTCCATGGGCAAACACGTTGTATTTCGGGAATCAAACGCACATAAGGCGGCGGCTGGACCGTAGTCCGCTCCAAACTGAGTGCATGGAAGCGATCTTCGAGCCTAGCACGCTCACAAGGACCGTGCACCGCGTTCCCTCCAGAGACGACCAACTTTCTCCTGGAGCCAGTATGGACGAGGTAGTGGGTAATAGACAGGTAGGCACCTTGTCAACATGCCTATCAAGCGCAGCCACATCGGGGATGTCAAACAACAGCCAATCATTTGAAATGAGAATAACGAACAATATATATAGAATAACGCATACAGAAATGCTGACATAAATCTGGGCTAAATGAACATATGAAATAAATTGATTACCAACAAATCCACGACAAGTGCAAGATGTCAGAAAATATATTTTAAAAATGCCACAAACGAGAAAACGTTAGCGAACTTAACCACAAGTAGCTTAAGCAACGTGTGCAAGTTCATATAAATGTCAAGATGAGGTACAAAAGGATATGCATTGAGATATGATAGCAAACCCACCATCTTAAATAAATAAACTCGGCACGCAAGCACACCGTTAGTAAATCGAATGCAGCGTACCTACAAACGCTGCGCCGGTTCTGCTTACGTTCTCAGCAGGACTGGTCGTCTTTTTGATGCTGGTCCCCAGTGGCCTCACTCGTGGCTCACTAGGCCTGCCTGACTCAGGCACTCCAGACCGCATGTGTTACAGCACCATGCGTTCGACGTCGATGGAGTACGTCATCGGCAGCTGTAGTTTCCGCAACTGACGCTTCTTCTCTGCATACACGATGGCTTTCTCCTGCACGTCGGCAACGCGCCATGCACGCAGATCAACCGCTTTCGATTCCAATGAGCTGCAATCAACGTTAGGACGTGATAGGCTCATTTTGATCAGATCCTAGTAACGAAGCTCCGATTTCCCCACATGTCGCTTCCCAATACCCAGCTGATCATATAATAGCTGCTTCGGAATCCGTGCGAATCCATATGCTACATATGACTGATCCACCTCAGGTGTCTCAGCAAAAGTATGCAGTCCACTGCATACATTACACCTGGGCGCAACACCGTGCCTGCAACTCTGTCGCACCAACCGATGCGAAGAATCCGTCGGAAACACTGTTGACGAAACCGCTCGAGATATCAAACATCCCGCAGCTACATCGTCCACGTTTCGCTGCCGTATGGACAGCACCATGGATTTGTGTACCATAAGCTTCGTGCCGACGGTAAGCTGTTGGTTGTTCCACACTCGGTACTCTAGCTTCCAAATGACGTTGCTGCCTCCGATATTCGGATACGCAGCTTACTGTGTATCTGCTGGTCAGTCGAAACCACACTCCCAAGGTAGGCGAAAAGGGAGGTGGTGCCCAATACTTCAACACCAATTCGGATATGCGGCAATACTGCAGATCGCACCTCCGGTAAAGGCTGAAAGAGACAGACAGTTTTGCTTGTGTTGATGGTGAACCCGAATTTGGCCGCTGTCGAAACCGGAGCACTAGTCATGTGCTGCAACTCATCCGAGCTGTGAAAACAACGCACAGTCGTCAGCGAACAGCAGTATACAGATAGTTGTCGCACAGACTACGGTTCTCGCACCGAAATGACTCATGTTAAGCAACCCACCATCAATACGGGGCTCCACACGAACACCGTAAGCACAAGCATTATCAAAAGCACAATACATCATGGCGTGAAGATAAATATTGAACAGGGCAGGAGCTAAGACACAGCCTTGTTTCACACCGGAGACAATTGAAAAGTCACCCGAGGTCTGTCCGTTCAGCTATACACACGCCCGCATACCACTGATATCTATACATTCACCGTAAATACCTTGAATCATTGCCTCAGTAGTACCAAAGACATGAAAATTATACTCATTGTGAGCAGATTCGGAAACATGCAGTCGAGGATCCCTCACGGGGCTATTATCTTGTATGCATGTTTTGGAGATACAGTACATATAAGCAGCAGGAGGCTGAAGAGTGGGAGTGTTGCCTATTGGCCCATCTGACCCAGAGTGTGGACACGAGAAAAACCAATGTGAAATGAGGCACTTGGTTTGACGGACGAGTTACCTATATCGATGGCAGCAGCTACGAGGTCAGTAAGTCACTTGCTTAATTGTAAACGAGGAAAAAGGTAGCTGAGAGGAAAAAACTATAAGAGAAAGTACTATTGACGAGATCGAGACTGCTGACACTACTCTCTAATCGTCCATTCCGAGAGAAGGGTATTAGTAGAGGTGCCCTACCTCCAGCTTTGACTCAAGTCTGTGGGGGGGGGGGGTGATGGTGATACGCGAACTCATCTAGTAGTCTTCGACCATAACATTTCCGCATTTCATTCCAGCCTAGTGCCTCACTTGCCTGTCGAATAAGGTCTAATCTGTCGGGCTTATACTCTCCAATCTTAGACCTGCCTCTTGGTATGCGATTCCGGTTGAACTGAAATCGTTCTCTGTTAGCTCTGAATCCCAGCTGAAATCAGAAGTCAACGCCTGAGGACAAAAGCGAGTTGTAGAATCGGCTACCGAAAAGCCAAGGATAATTATCGAGGACCTATCTGCAACTTCTACCTGGTGCATGGGTTTCGCGCCGGAACATGAAGAACCAAAGAGATAGAGAGGTTCAGAATCCGAAAAGAGATAATTACAAGAATATAGGGCTGAAAAAGCATCATGCATGTGGTGAGATGAGAATGGTGGTGGGTCGGATGGTCGTGAGCTTTACAGAAGACTGTTAGAGCTAAATAGAGATGAGTCAGACGCTAGGTGCCGCCTTGCGACTGAGCAAATTCAAGTTGGGACGGGAACAGTAGGATAATCAAACGAGTGTTCTTTCTTGAGAGCGTCGTTGATCCAGGACAGATTACGTGGGAGCAATTTGAACCGAGAAAGGCAACTTTATACATACGAATCAGATCACGACCAACCAATCAATTCCCACGAGGACTGCACTAGCAGCCGGGCAGTAGCGGTC